ACCATTTTTGTAACTATAATTGCTCTCAGTGGTTGCAACCGTTATGGCTGCTTCTCATGTTACAATTTCATATACACAAAATGACACTTGTTTATAAAGAAGCATGCATCTTGCGATGCAAAAATGGATGCAGCTACCCTGATACAGAAAGGTGATTAGCCTACATAAGGTATTCTCAGGGAGGGAGGATATGATGAACCTATGCAGCAATTCCGACATTACAAAATGTACACTGCTCCATCAAATCAAATCAAACCAGAAGTTCCAGGACAAAAGACTAGACTAGGATTTTTAGGAAAGTTACTTGTGGAGTAAGGAACTTTAAAAAGCCACAGATAAAGCAAAAGACACCATGTTGTTCACCAGAACAAAAATTCCAGAATTTCTATTGAGACAATACTTTCATCAGGCCAATCAAATGGACACATTGGAATAATGTTTCAATATCTCCTGACATTTTTGTTATGCAAGATGTTACAAAGAGCAACTGAGGAGATGAGAAAAAAATTAGGGTGTTGAAATTACTCTATTTGCATGGTGCACAGAAACACTGGATCGGATGTCTGAAGTGTCTTCTCTTTCCAAAAAGGTTATTTTACAATTGGTGGTGCAAGAGAACTAAACCCAATGATTTACTGTCACAGAACCTGCTTAATGCAACACTACATGACTGTTCACACAACTGTGTGGGGAGAAGAGCTTGCACCTACATTCTTTTAGCTCATGATCTTTTGCAGCCAACCCAAAAACTGCATATGAAATACAATGGCTGAAATCCTGTTGCATAGTATAGTACGCTGCAGCTACAGTAGACACACTGGATCAGTGGGAATTTGGTGAGCCCACTTCTCTGTGAGTTCCACCGATTCAGTGGGCCTGGTCTAGCTGCAATTCAGGTTTTCAGCTACAGTGGTGCCTCTACTTACGAACATCCGAACATACAGTACAGTGGACCCTTGACTTACAGACGGCTTGACTTACAGACTTTTTGAGTTACAGACTTCTCTGGCCGCAAAATTTAGGTTTGACTTGCAGACTGAGATTTGACTTACAGACCAGAAAAAACCTAAAATGGAACAAAAACGGCCTGTTACAGGATTAATCGGTTTTCAATGCACTGTAGGTCAATGGAGACTTGACTTACAGACTTTTTGACTTGAGAACCGCCTTCCAATACGGATTAAGTTCTCAAGTCAAGACCCCACTGTACAGCCATTTCCAGCCGCAAATTTTTGCTTCGACTTCTGGCCAGAGCTTCGAGTTACAACCAAAAAAAAAAAAAAAAGACATGGAAAAAGGTGGGGAATTCAAACTGCTAACCATCGGTGGCAAAGAGGCTGCTTCTTTGCAGCTCTTTCGCCCCAGCAGTTAGAGTGAGTGCGATTAGAGGCGGCTTCGGACTGCCTGGTAAAGTAAGGTGCTGCTTTCTACTTTCAAAAACTGTTCTAGGTGGGTTTTGCAGCGTGGTTTTGGGCTCGGTGGTAGAATTATGTTTCTATGCTGTGATGGGTCTTGCAGGGTTTGTTTGTTTTGGGGGGTTTCCCCCCATTTCTGATTGGTCTTGTATAGTTTGTTTGCTTTTTGCTTTTTTTGCATTTCCGATGGGTCCTGCACGGTTTGTATACTTTTTGCTTTGCTTTTTTTGCATTTCCGAGGGGTCTTCACACTGTTTGTTTGCTTTTCTCCCCCTCCCCTCGGCCAGAACGGAATAATCGTGTTGCAGTCTTGCAGTGGTTTTTCTGTTTGTTTTGGTGATTTTTTTCCTTTGGCCGGAACAGATTAATTGCATTTCAATGCATTCCTATGGGAAATGGTGCTTCGACTTACAACCATTTCGAGTTATGACCGGAGTTCCAGAACCAATTAAGTTCGTAAGTCAAGGCACCACTGTATTATTGCACTTTTCCAAACGAAGGTTTTAAAAACATTTAATTAAAAGGTTAAGTCCTAGAAGATGCATAATAACCATAAAAGTTAATTAAAAATACACTGAATGATTACAAGCGTCTATCACTATAAAGTCTCTATTCCCCAGAAGGTCAGTTCCCTATAAAATATAAAGCAAAACAATCAAAGCATAAACTGTCATTCCTATAAAAAAATTCTAAGTTATTTAAATGAAGTCAACGAGCTAATCAGAAGGATTTTTATGGTATGAAAGGCTAATTCAAGAACATATAGCCAAGGTTAAAAGTCAGTGTTTTAAATAGGGGAAAAAATATTCTGGGAATACAGTACACTGATAACAGTTCAAGGTAGGCTCATCAAAGAGGACATTTTTGTTGGTTGTACATTAACATGTATCTTCTTCCCTTGTCTTATCACCTTCACTTTATAACTAATCCTCTGATCTTACAAAATACTGTTGTCAACAAACGTTCTCAACCTTCTACTCTTAACCCCACACCAGCCCAGTGCTGGTGAGAGTGCGAAAAATGTCTGAGGCTCACCATCACAAAATTATGGTGCAGAAGCAGAGCAAGCCACAAAATAATGTCAGGTAGAAGCAGAGTTTGCTTTGTTCTGCTGATAATTAGTGATACTATAACAATATATAATTTCTCTCTTTCAAAGATTTCTTTCTAAAAGGGAAGCACTATAATAGGGAGCACAGCCTCCTCATTCAGCATAGAATTTGCTGATAAAGAGACTGTAAAGTGGGGTGGCCCAGAGGCTTTTAAACTGCAACTCTCATAATTCTTCAACACTGTACTAGCGTTGCTTGAGTTGTAGACAAAAAATAACATCTGGAGGGTGCCAGATACCAGCCCCTGCTCTAAGTGAAGACCTTTTATATTTTCCTCTCTCCCTTTTATCCTGAAGTCTTCTTACTTCTCTCCTGTATTTTGTTCTTCTTTCGCTTAACTTCCACCTAACTCACAGTCCAACTGCCAGTTTCTTTCTCTTCCTCCTGCTGTTTTTTCATTCTTCCAATAATAGCCTTCCTCTTTTATCCTCAATGTCCCAGCTGTCACTTTTTCTTCAGACAAAAGTGGTTCCTTTCAAAGAAGGAAGATATCCCTGTCAAAATCTTCTCTAGCCCAGTCATCTTCACTTACACCTTTTCCCATCCCCAATTTGCCCAGTCCTATACACAAACACAAGTGCTACAATGTCTACAGACACTGGCCCTATGGCAGGTTCCTCTGATGTGAAGCAGATAGCCACAGCCATAACCAGAAGAAACAGCACCCATGGCTGCCTCTCACTTTCTTCTTCACATTCTCTGCTGTTTTCTTTCACTAATTTGAGTATTTGTAAAGCCATATGGCTATTTGCAAACTGAAATTTGGAACAATAAAAATCTAAAGTTAACTTATTCCCTCCCCTAATTTATCTTTTCATTGCCTCATACTCAACCAGCAATTCTTATCAGTTTGTGGTCTGTTTCCTCCCTATCCTTCTTTTACTTTCAGTTCTTCCCTTCCAACTTTACAAGATAGGGCTTTGCTCTAGCTTTTGCTCCTATTTGTTTCTACATGCCCCTCCTTTGGGGGTGGGGTCAGTGCTACTGCTGCTTGCATTGGTTCAAGCAGAAGATTGTGGCACAACCATGGAACAGGGCACTCAAGCCAGGTATTACCAGGCATGCTACAGCAGTAAGGCACACTGGTAGTCTTCTAAGAAATGCTGGTCCACAAAATTATTCATATCACGTGCTTATGTTGTACTCATAGAAGTAAACTGCTTAAAGCAGTAATGTCAATCATTACAGATTTCAATTCTTTTTACTCAAAAACACACAGGTTAGATTGAAAAACTCTGTCTAGAAACCTACTGCTACCCTTTGACACCCAGCAAGCAAAGTGAAACTCTCAACAGTCCCAATAAAATTATATCCCAATACCATTAATCAAGTTATTGTCAAACATTAACTACTGCTCTCAAGGCAATTCTGACATATGACAATGCCCGTCAGGGTTTCCTAGCTATAGAATACTCAGAAGTCATTTACTACTCCCTTCTTCTGATGGTGCTCTAGTACCAGCTTGCCCAATGCTACTAAGGCTGGTTTTTCTCACAAGAGGCAAGTGGAGAATCAAGGTCCCCATTCATGTGTTCCAACTCACTGAGCTATCTAGGCAATAATTTTAATGTACAAATTTAACAGCTCCCCACATGAGATTCTAAAAAAAACTGAGTAATGGAAATACAGTAACACTGTTATAAATCATAGGAAGTTTTAACAGACCAAAAACCTAATTGTCCCGTTTCAAAGTAAATTACAATTCACCTCGTAGTTTTGCTTATATTGGCTTATATGGTAAACTGCCTTGCATAAAAATGCTGTGTGGACCATTAGTTTTAACATTTATTGTGTTATTACTGTGCATTAAAATATTGAAAATTATCTGGATTACAGAATTGCCTCATACTATTAACAAAGCCCTAGTATAAACTAGTAAGAGTCTTTTCCAGGGTTTATAAGAGATCCTTCAATCAGGATATGACTTTCTCAAGAAAAGTTTGTTAATGTACAAATCCTGCTAACACCTTCCAGCAAGAATTATCAATTTCTCAATAAAGAAAACATTTCTGGAATACTATTTTCATATTATGGAAATTACAAACAACTTCCATGTAAGGCAACTTCCTTCTAGCCTAATCAATAATTAACTTTTCAGCACTTTGATCTGCAACGTACTACACATTTACTCGGAAGTCCCGCTGAACTTGCAGAGGATTTACTTGCAGACTTGAATAGGATTGCATTGGCAGAAATTAAAACAGAGAACATAAATATAACAAAGTTGAGACATTTGTTAGTGTGAAAAGATGCTTGTTAGCCCAAACCAGTTTTAAAACAAATGCTATTAGGTTCACCCCATTCATAAGTTAAGTACCACAAATCTGGTTAAATACCATCACCCCGCACTCATAGCTTACTCAACTGATACTGGATGTTACTATGAAATGGCAACGTACTGAGTAGCGGAGGCTTCGTTTCTTACACACTACAAAACTAAATCCTTGGCTGACATAACAGTTCTTGAACTTACCTACTTATCAGGCGAGGGGGGAACAGTTTCAAAGCAAATCCTGCCTCCCCCTGCTCGGCAGAGAAGTCTCTTTTGTAGCCTCCAGGCTTTCTGACATTTACCGTTCCTTCGGGCCAGAAACGGAGACACTCCCAGTCACTGGAAAGCCGCCGCCAGGAGGAGGAGGAGAAGCAGCTAGAAAAAAGTTTGCCCGCACCTCTCTCCCTTTTCCTTCGGAGGCAGCCCTTTTTTCACTCGCAGCGCCTTACACGAATGCCATCAAGCACCGTTAACCTCGGCAGTGCAACAGCTTGGAGAGGTTTCCACTGCGTGAGGACGGCTCCTGGGAGACCGGCAGGCAAGGCCGCCCTGGTTGGACTGGTATAGTGCCCCTGCTGCTGCTGTTCGAGCTGCTTCTGGAGCCGGCGCTGTGTTTACAGCCGGTTTCATGCTCTTTGCTTGTCCCCTCCCTCCTTCCCTCTGTCTGCTACAGCCTCGCCTGACATCATTCATTTTCTTATATTCACACACACACACACGCCCACTCCATTTCCAAATAGTGACTCACCCTCCCCTTGCTGCTATTCGAAGGCTGTGCTAGAAAAACCGGTTAAAGATCTCTCCTGGAAGAGATTAAAAAAATAAAAATAAAGGGGTGGTGGGAAGCCCTGTTCTAGGCACTAGAGGTAATGGTGGGAAAAGATGTGACACAGCGACCCAGCCACTGCTTGGTTGATGTGTGCATTTCACCTCATTTTAATTAAAAGAGCTGTAGAGTGGATCCTAACAGCCAACAGAACATTTTCTGTTTGTAGAATCGTATTCAATGACTTAAGGCAATCTTAAAGAAACAAAATCCCTTTTCAGATGAAGCAATGGCAGGATTTGACACTTGGAGAGCTAACAGGTCATTTCAATATTTCCTAGTCATCCTGCACTCTGATCAGTTCACCTCGGCCCTTCAGGGTTCATGTGTGCCTCTATTACAGATATTTCATAAAATCTACTCTGCTTCAAAATCATGAACTCTTATAAAATGCAATTCATACAAAACTCCAGGGTAATTTAGCTGCACTTAAAGGTGCCACAAGGGACGTGGTGGCGCTGCGGGCAAAACCGCAGAAGCCTGTGCTGCAGGGTCAGAAGACCAAGCAGTCGTAAGATCGAATCCATGCGACGGAGTGAGTGCCCGTCGCTTGTCCCAGCTCCCACCCACCTAGCGGTTCGAAAGCATGCAAATGCAAGTAGATAAATAGGGACCACCTCGGTGGGAAGGTAACAGCGTTCCGTGTCTAAGTCTCATTGGCCATGTGACCACGGAAAATTGTCTTCGGACAAAAATGCTGGCTCTATGGCTTCGAAACGGGGATGAGCACCGCCCCCTAGAGTCAAACATGACTGAACAAAAATTGTCAAGGGGAACCTTTACCTTTACCTAAAGGTGCCACAAGAATATGTCTGAAAAAGTGAAGTTTACATTAAAATATAACAGTATTTAAGGTGCCACAGCACTTTGTCTTTTTTATTTTTCTTTTCTTTTTGCCTGATACACATGATTTTTGTTTGTTTTGGTTACACATGTTCATTAACGATACACAACAGCTCATTTATCCCAAATCTCTCACTAGGAAGCACAGACCAGTCCAAACACTCTTCCTAAATTAGGCCACATTTTTCTTAGTGTGTTATCAGAGAGCAAATTGCATCACAGGGATGCTTGAAAAGGAAAACTAGTACTTTACTGTGGGAAGTGGAGGACAGAATCCTGAACACACTTAAATGGGAAGCAGCTTACTGAACAATGGGGTTCCACCTAAACAAATATTAAGTAAACTGTCATTTGTTAAGCATCAGAAAAAGAAGGTTTCAGATGTAAGAAGATAGCTACTTCTTTAAAAACTAGTCTTGCTCTTGGGCTTTAGCAGTAGCCTAACATGCAGGTATTAAGTTATTAGCTGAATTTATTTCCACCATTTTTATCTCAACATTAAAGCTTCACTGTTGTCACAAGTGCAGGACGAAAACTAATAAAACAATAAAAAAGAGATGACTCAATATTGAAACAGGATGTGCTTACACCTCAGAAACGCCATAGAAGCCTTAACGTAACAGTTATGGAGGTGAGAAGCCAATGCTGTGGACACGAGAAACAATTATACAAAATTATATTCCAGCTAATTATGTTAGTAATAATAGCATTTTTAGAGGTTACAGCATTTAGATGACAAAAAGTACACACAACATGCCATAGGTTCATCAATCGTTCATAACGTATCAAGGGCCAAAATGCACGTATTAAGTGCCAAAATGCAGCGAGGGCAGAATCATGATTTTTAGAATAAAATGTTCTTGGTATATATCACTTGCCATTGATGAATTTTACCTTAAAATCCTCCCATTGTTGTGATACTACGAATGGAGCCAACAGTTTATATTCCATTTTCGGCAGGACCCAATCTATGTCCTGGTTGGTAGGCCTCTCATTGAACAGTCAGCTTGGAGGTGGTTATGAAGTGTGCCTTGTGGTCGCCTAGCAACAGGAACAGAGCGACCTCAGCCCCTTCTCCCAGAACAGCCATTTTGCTTGTGTAGCTGAGTAGTTGGAACTAGTGTTGGTGGCAGAAGTGTTTACAGAAAAGGGTGGGGTGGGGGAGGAAGGAGAGCCATGAATTAACATTGCCAGCAGAGCATTAACTGTAGCAGACCAAATATAGTTTAGAAATACAGATTCTGTGTTTCGTATTAACAGAGATTCCTGACTGGCCTTGATCAAGTTTATGATCTCAGATAACTTACCTTACATGGATGTTAGGATGATACATGAGATCATTAGGGCAATTCATAAAGCCATCCTGACAATTTGAAACATTTAAATCTAACTAAATGTTCAGTGCAGTTAAGTTGCATCTGTCCCCTGGCAACCCTAGTAGGGTTTCTAAGGAATGTGAGAGATTTAAGGAATGATTTTTCCAGTTCCACACTCTCAGTGAATTTCCATGGCTGGACAGGGATTTGAACTCGAATCGTCTCCTGAGTCCTAGTCCAACATCCACTGCGCCATACTGACTCTCACTAACTAACTAGTCACCCTGTTTTTGGACAATATATTCCTGTTAATTCTAATTCTTACCAACTATGGAAGACCCTCCCCAAGGAGGTGCAACTATTGCCAATACTGGAACATTTCAAAGTACTAGCTCAAAACCTTTTTGTTGCAAGACATTGTAACACTCAGACTCTGTTTTGGTTTAGATTTAATTTAGATTGATATTTTAAATACATACATAAACACACTATATTTTTACAAAGTACATAAATATAAAATAAAAACAGTAACATCTGGTTAAATATAATAAAAGATAAAAGCAGCCACTACAATTGATTAAAGCAGCACAGAATAAAATATCAAAAACCAGAAATACTAACATTTTAAACAACCCATGGAGATCAAAATAGTTCTTTGACAAAACCCAAAGTTACACCTGGGCAGTACAAGGTACAGGAAGTTGACAGAATTTTACTTCCCATTATGGCCGCTTTCTGCCCTGAACACGGCTTGCTGATATTAAACAGCAATATTCAGTTTATATCCAAATTATACAAAATGTGCAATATACAGTTCTTCTGTAGTATACTGAATTATCTGTTCTCTGTCTTTTCACACACCAGCTTCATTTCCATTTCCTGTCTTGCCTCTCAGCAGTGGAAGAAGCCCTATTGCCAGCCTGTGAAAGACCCTACCAATAGCAATGAGCTATTAATTAAGTCACCTCATCTACATATAGTCAGAATTAAGTAGTCAAGAAAGACAGAGTAGACTTCACATTACATTAAGGTACATTTTACATTGCAAAGTAACCCTGAATTTTATTCATAAAGGCATACCCTTTGAAACTCATTATATGAGATAGATGTATTGGATCCATCTTGTATGTAGATGTGTTAGATCCAGATCTGCTGTGCCATAAAACTCATCTACATATTGTCAGAATTAAGTAGTCAAGAAAGATAGAGTAGACTTCACATTACATTAAGGTACATTTTACATTGCAAAGTAACCCTGAATTTTATTCATAAAGGCATACCCTTTGAAACTCATTATATGAGATAGATGTATTGGATCCATCTTGTATGTAGATGTGTTAGATCCAGATCTGCTGTGCCATAAAAAATGAGGGTCTTCTGTTAATGGAAACCGTCAGGTCCACCAGAGGCTTTCTTTTTGCTAACTTGATGGCCCAGAAGAATGGGAGAAAATGTTAATAATTTTTTGTCATCCACTTGTGTTACAGAGGTCATTCAACCCTCTGGTGCAATTACCGCAGAGACTTGGGTAGGTGTGGCACGAGAAAGACAGAATCAGCAAATGTTGCTTCTCTTCCCCCTTTGCCCATTCAAGTTATCAGTTTGTGAAATTCCACTCTACACAACTCTGCATCTAACTCAATGTATACATTATTAATTCTTTGTCTTATAAACTGAAAGGTTTATAAGGCATCAAAAGTCTGTCTCAACGGATGATGCCTTTCATAGTATAATACTTCTACTTATCTGTTCCCAAATTGAGATTATTTCACCAACTGATCATGTAGAGTTGACAATTATAATATTCTACTATTTTGTACGGTTTGAAAATAAAGAAGCAGCACTTGTCTTGTGATAGTTGAATCAATTAGGAAGCCTTTCTCTAAGTATCAGATGTATTTTATAGTTTTTCTGTTCAAGACAAGTTGTTACAAAACGTCCACACTCTGTGGTCTGATTTCCTTCAAGACCCAAGAGAATATATTCCTCTGAAATTGGTCCTCCTTGGCAACACCACACATCTGAGCTTATAAAATCTTTTTCACAGTGCTTTATCAGGACAATGTGCTGTATTGTTGCTGTGTTGCAAATGGGAAATAATACAAGAGCAACATATTCTGTAGGATAAATCAAATGGGTATCAAGAGGTATTGTTTCCAAACAAACACAATTAAGTTTTCATATGTATGGAAAACATGGCTCTCAGTACAGTGTGCGATTTGTGAGAGGTAAGATTTGTGTTCTGTTTAATCTCAGTATTTCCTTTTTTGAAAAAAAAACTGAAGCAAACTTCTATTTAATTTGTTTATTTAATTCATTTTCTGCTGCCTTTCAAAACAGCAGTCTTGCCCTTTCATCTGACCTGAAGCAAACCCAATTTTGTTTTCCTTATGGTATTTCTTTCATGAGATCAGCAATGATATTATTGGAGATTATATTACTATAAATGGACACCATTAGCTTGTACATTAAATTTGTGACAATTTCCAGAAAGATGCCAGGCAGCTATTTGAATAAGCAAGAACGTAGGAAATATACTAAATTTTGAGAGGAAGCGGATGAACAAAATAAAATATTGTTCTCCTTGACCAACCGAGAGGCAGTGTAGTATCATAGACCAAATATTAGTTTGCAAGTAAACAACCAAATTGGCTTGGTCTGGATCAGGATAAACATGATTGCTTTGAGCTGTGATT